TTCACTGGTACTCTATGCCCCCAAAGGCTTTGAGAAGACGAAGCAAAACATGAAAATGCTGTTTAGGGCCAAAGTCGTTGACCTCTGTATCCACGCCACACTATTTGTACGTGTATCGGATCGATATGTACCCTAAGGGTTAAAATATCGGCTAAATTGCATTGCAAGTTCAACGTGACTATATTCATTAACCTGATCACTGTACATGTCTGTCTTGATAAAGCGGTACCCGAACATATAAAGACAAATAAAATGGCATATAAAACGTTACAACTCGAGTTCCGACAAGTGCGGGAATAACATCAAGTCAGTGGGGGATTCCCGTAGGGCATCCGGTGTATGCCTCGAGTATCCATCCTCCGCTGGTCCTGATCATTGGGACGATTGGGCTTGATCAGCTGAGGTCCTCACGTGTTCCAAACGCACCACAAGTGAGAGTAGAGCTACATTCTCACTTGATGCGTAGAACTGTACGCAGTCATGGTGGACCTTGGCGAAATGAGTAAAGTTCGCCTCAAAACTACCCAAAAACTTCCATCTGATAGAAACACGAAGTGAATCAATGAATCGAGGAATGGAGCCGGAACACAAAACAAAGGCGCACCTTTTCTGCATAGTTGCTGGATCATCTTCCCCTGAAGCGATAGCGGCCACTCCTTGATTGACGGACTTGGTGAAATTGGCAGAGTACAGAGCAAATGTAGAGCAGGTAATAAGCATCCGAGAGTAAACCTAAGGTAGAACATGATAATCAGCGGTGTGTGGTGATATGGTAACGAGATACTTGCCCTCAGTAACTTTGAGCTAGTCAACATACACTCCTTCAAACAAGTATCGAGGAAATCCACATGATCTCTTAGCAATTGGTCTACTGTCGTTACCTTCCCTAGTTTGGCCTCTAGTTTTCTCCAGTTGGGCTCGAGGACTTCGACGGTTGCAAATGCCAGTATTTGCTGCACAAACGCCAACATACGTGCTCTTAGTACAAAAACTCGCGATCTCCAGAGAGTGAATTCCGCATGATTTGGTGTAGGAGTCCGCCAATTGTTCGCTTTGTGGTCAATCCACATCGAAGAGAGCATTTGTTCGACATGCTTTAGATGAAGGAGGAAACGGAATAGAAGCTGGTATCGAAGTATAGTCTTGCGCGATATTACTAGCGATAATGGGAAGCGAACATTATAGTCAAGGGTAAGCGCATCGATCCCTATAAATGTTT